GGTTTGTATTGGATTATCCAATGCGCTAATGCTGGTTATCCAATGGATTTATATGGTTATCCAAATTGTTTGAACTAGTTATCCACTTTGTTCATACTGGTTATCCAACTCATGCATACTGGTTATCCAACTTACTGGATATCCAACTTATTCTGCCCATCAAAATTTAGTCATTTTTAAACTCAAAAAAAATATTCGAAATGGATCTTGTTGAATAGATCTCGACGAGTATAATTTTCATGCATAACACGTTCTCTAATTCTTTACGGATTATGAGATCGTTGAAAGATTAGAGATGTTTTTTTTTTGGAAGAGAGAGAAAAAATGACAGGGAATATACTTGTAAAATATAGAAAGAGTGATAAAAAGTACAATAAGGGCTAAAAATACAAAAAATAGGAGGGGGGCACAGTGCCCCAAAGTATACTGGATACAGACTCATGGACATATGATTTTTATTTTTCTTACTTTTGAATTAAGTGATCAACTTTGATTATTAGATATAGCTTTAGGCTGTGTGTTTTTCAAAAGGTAAATAGAACTCTTTATAAACAATGCTCATCATTTGGCTAGGATGTTTGTATCTTCTCTGTAATAACTGTTTGATGTCAATAAGTCTGTTTTTTTTTTTTTTTTTTTAAAGAGTAATCCACTTTGATTATTTTGACGAATTGTTGGACTACTTCAGAGTTTTCAACCTTAATTGATCTTTAAAAATTATCACCACTTAATACTTAAAATCATTTCGTTAAATATATATTTTTTAATTTCATCATATTTGATAACAAAAAATGAACATCTTAATCAATTAAGTGATACTTAAACCACAAAACAAAATGTACGCAATAAAAATAACCTTATTACCTATTCCGTAACTGTTTAATGAATTCAACATTACTAATTCAATGTTAAGCATAAAGAATTAAAAACTGATTTTTATATCAAACAGTTCCTAGTCAAGTTTTGACCTGAGAAAGGCAGAAAAAATAAATCATCGGAAACTTATGTTCATGGATGCTATTCAGTATCTTAATTTTATTAAATACTTAAATAAAATAGAAGTATTGAAAGAGAATACATTTTATCGGTGTTCAGAGAATATATTTTGACTGCAGATTCGGTATTCAGACTTCAGATTTCAGTCTTTAGACAACATACGCTGATGTTTTTATCAAATAATTTAAGTTCGGTCTTCAGACTTCAGAGTTAAGTGTTTAGTGTTCAGATATTAAATTTAAGGATATGTTTGATAATCCCTTATTTAGTTACTTAATTTATTCAAGTATTTAATAAAATTAAGCGTAGTTGATAATCGTTACTAAAAAATCTTGATGGATTGAGTGCTGAATAATTAAGAACTTATAAGTTAATTGCATTTGATAATTAAAATCACACCATCTGAATCAATTAAGTGGACCTAAATGTCCTGTTCAATTGTTTGCCAAAAATAAACGATAGACTTACCTCTTACCATTTATCACTAACATTGAATTTTTATAATGCTTCATTTTTTTTTGTCTTCTTTTCTCTTCTCGTCTTGCTCATGAAATGATTTTTATTTTTATTCTCTTTCAATACTTTTATTTTGTTAAGGATTTTTATTTTTCATGCCGGGTATTGAGGACTTCTCCGTGGCCGCACAATGGTGAAGAAAGTCCACATCACCATCTTGTATTTAGCTTACTTATTCCCGTGGAGGTTTCCAAGAAACCAAATTACATTTTACCGGGAAGTTCCCTTACCTTTATCTGAAACCATGCTCAAACCAAATCAGATAGAAATAGTTTGCTACTTAATCAAAACCAACTATTTGTATAACACCAATTAAATTCATTCGTCAATTTCGTAACTTCGCCCGGTTATACTAGTACCAGTACATTGCTACTTAATCAAAACCAACTATTTGTATAACACCAATTAAATTCATTCGTCAATTTCGTAACTTCGCCCGGTTATACTAGTACCAGTACATGGACAACTTCATTGAGAGAAAAACTGCAACAATAAAGAAGGAGAGAATATTCAAAATTTCCATTTAAATTCGAAGAAATCTTCTCTCCCTTCCCACGATTTTCATAAAGAAACAGTGTCAAAATCCTCTCTGCCTTTGACGGTTTAGGTCAATCCGAACTTCAAATTCCGTTCTTCATTCACTTTGGACAACGGAGATTTGCTTTAATTACACGAAGATGCCGCCGGAATTCGCACAAAAATTCCTCCAAATTGGATCAATTAAAAATATATATCCTAAACAATATTCTTATTCAACACCTGAGGTTTTCTTTGATCTGAATAATTAGAGTTTTTCTTTTGTACAAGAAGACTCAAAAGTATCTTTTTTGTTCTGTTTAAGAGGTGTGACTTTTTTTGGTCAAGGGAGGTGAAGGTTTCTAAGAAGAAGGGTGCATATATATATTGATCGTATCATACATAGTAACGGTATTCATTGTCAAAAAATAAAAGTTACGCAAATTGATTTAAAAATAAGAAAGCAAAGACTTTCTAGAACGTATGGCTTTTTCGTCATTTCAAGTGTATGTTTAAAGTGTATGTTTAGTTGTTGGTTGACTAGTCGATTCAAGGGGTATCGGTACTATGCCCAAACGGTAGGGTCCATACTGTTGTTTGGCCCGGGGGGTGGGGGGTGGGGGTTGCATGTAATTCGCCCTAATATTATCTTCATTTTCTTGTGAAAGTTGGAAGTTGATATTCTTATAAATACATCACCCTAATGTTAACTACATTTACTTGTGAAAGTTAGAAGTTGATTTTTTTTAGAAAGAAAAAATTAACATCTCAAGGCTCAAATTTGATGGGCAGTAAAATTAAATTGAAGTTAGATACTTGGAAAACTTGAGTTTTTGTAAGGGAAAATTTTCATTAAAGGCATTGGAAGAATAATAATTATTAAAAAGGGCATGAGATTTATTCATTCATTATCATTAATTTTACATCAAAATTTTAGTATATTTTTGGGTTTGCAAAATTATTGCTTTGCCCATTTCTTCTCAATCAACGATTCAACGGCAAATTTCTTTCTCCTTCAGAATCCATCCGAGTTCAACCTTGCTACAAAACTTGCTGCAAATTTTCTTTTCGTTTCTTAATACATCTAAACTCAAAGTATTTCATAAGATGCTTGATCCAAACTATAACAAGGTTTCCTATATTCTTCATATGCAATAGAACCAACGCATAGATTTTTATACAATATCCTGATTTAAAACAAGATTAAGAATTAACGATCATTTACACAGTTTTCTCATCTAACAATAATTAGGGTTCAAAGAGATGTCAGGATGTGAAAAGAGGGGCTATTTTGTTTGTATTAAATTGAGAAGATGGTGGATTACGAAGTCAGATCGGGAAGCCGTCGACCCCAACTAAGGATAAGATTAAGTTTGGCCATGGGTTTCTTACAAGCTCAAGAAGATTGAAGAAAAATCATAGAAACAAAAATAAAACACTAGAAATTGATACGCCGATCAGATTTCAATTTTCATTTTTATTTTCCTTTCTTGAGTTTGCAGATTCATCACTAGTGATGGAAAAAGAAAGAGGGATTGTAGTTGGTCTTTTCAAAAGTGAACAAAATTAATAATATTCAGTAATCTATACCCTTCACAATAAATATAATCTTTTCAATGCTTTAATAGAAATTCTCCCTTTTTCTAATTAGTACTCCCCCATGTCCTTAATATTAATATAAAGCATTTTGATTTGTCCCACGTTTCATCTAGTACGCATCTTTAGTTGACGAAAAAATTTTAAGAATATTTCCTAACGATCAAAATAACACAACGAATGTGAAAATATATTTTTAAGGTTTTTTCGTTAATTGAAAATATATATTAGGTAAAACCTAAAACAAAATTAAAATGTCTTATATTAAGTATCGGAGGAAGTTTATCTTAAAGCAACGTTTAAGGTTGTTCCACTTTCTAAGTTGATATGAGAAATTTGAACATCCAGTTTGGGAGTTTTTATTTTATTTTTTGGTTAAATGGAAGTATTTATTTTATTATCATATGTTTTCCAACTCCAAGAGCTCATTTTCCTTGATCATTCATAGACAATCTTTCCTTCCTTTTGAATTAAGTAACCAACTTTCATTGATTATTTATTTCCACGAGTTGTTGGACCGATTCAAAAGGCTTCAAAGCTTAGTTTAACGTTAGTCAACATTTTGACTTGAGAAAAGCTGAAAAAATCTCAATCTGCAATAAAGAACTTTCAGTACTTGCTGAAAAAATCAGTGTTGTCAGACTCGACTAAGACCAGCCGGTCAAACCGGTTAAACTGGGAACCGAATTTTTGACCGAGTCGAATCAGTTTAAAAATCGCCAAATTCAAACTCAGTCAAAATTGGTCAAAATTTTGGCCAAACCGGGAATCGGATCGAATCGGGTTGACTCAAATTTTTTAATTTTTTGACTTTTGATCAAAATTTTTCACAATTTCTCATGGAATCTAACATCTTCCAAGCCCAACTTTTTTTCTTTTTCTTCACAAATGGCCCATAACTTTCAATGTTTGTTTTATTCAAAACATTATTTTGGTTTTTTAGTCCCCAATTTTTAATTTTTACTATTAAAGGCCTTATTTTTTATTTTTTTTTTATTTTCTCGCACAAACCAACTTTTATCATCTTAAGCAAAAGTTAAACTATAACTTTAATATGTCGAAATTGATTTTAAAATACATTTGTCTTGATGTTTAAAGTTAATTATTTTGCAATTCAATAATTTTTTAAGTAACAATTGATGTTTAGTAGTAATTAATTTATCTTAATAACCTTATTAATATACTTACTTCACAAATAACTATAATTAAGTAATACAAAAAAATCAATATTAACTGCTACAATAAAAAAAGATATAAATTTCAAGTTTTTTTAATTGTAAACATATAATAACTAAATATTTTTTATTAATAATTAAAAAAATAATCTTAATCGACCTTTCGAGTTCAACTTTGTCCTAACAAAACCCATTTCCAAGATACAAAAATACTAATTTGACTTTAATAATTGACAATTGTATATAAAATTTTAATTAAAATATAATTATTAATTAATTAATATTTATTACGTGATTATAACGTTATCCAAGTCGAACCCCCGATTCACCCCGAGTCGAGCCCCGAATCGCTCGACCCTCTAGCCATGCCGAGTTGAGCTCCGGTCCGAGCTTGATGACACTTGAAAAAATCAGTCTGCAACATTATCTTATCTTATCTCCAAAATGTCAAATGAAGACCAGAAACGCGCTTCCCAGTTCCTCTCTTCTTTGCCCTTTTGCTTGGGATTTATCCCCTTTTCTCAAAAAACTTTTGAGTAGTTTCTCAAATTCCCCCCTCTTTTCCGCAATGGAGCATCTGATCATCACGATTCCGCAGAATCATCCCACGACAGATTGGTCAGGACTTTTACCAGACATACTGGCAGAGATCGCGATGCATCTGCAGTCAGCGGAAGATTTCATGGCGTTCAGAGGGGTTTGTACTTCCTGGCGAAAATCCGCCCCAAGTAAAGATCATTTCTTCAATTCCCGCCCTACGATTCCGTTGCTTATGCTTGGTGAAAGATACGGTACAAACACCGATGATGAACGCCAGTTTAACAGCCTGACGAAGAGAAAGGTTGTCATGAGGTTATTTCTGCCAGAAGCAAAGGGTAAAGTATGTCTCGGAGCAAGATTTGGTTGGTTATTAACCGTCGACAGGGATTCAGGGGAAATTACTCTGTTGAACCCTTTTTCTCGTGCTACAATCCCTCTTCCCTCCCCTGTTTATAAGCATCTTTCCCGTCCCAGATCTGCATTTATTACCAAAGCAGTTCTGTCAGCTAATCCATTCCATACATCCGATTTCGATCTCGCCGTGATTCACAGCGGCGCTTCTTTCTTGGGAGTTTGGAGGTCTACCGGCTCGGAATGGACCAGCATAGAATGTGATCATGGTACATCCAATACGTTCTTGGACGTGATTTTCCACAACGGGAAACTTTATGGTATTGATACTAAAAGCCAAGTTTGGGTTTGGAATGATTTGACATCCAATTCGAATGTCAAGGTTTATCATGCTCCATCAACTACAGAGGATGGATTATCATGGCGTCAAAATGCATATCTAGTTGGATCATCGAGCGGAAAGTTACTAGTTGTTAAACACGAGTATTTCCACTGGGAGTGGGTTGGAGTTATTGAATTGGATGGCGCGAGATTATGCCAGAGGAAGAAGATCACCAGTTTGGGAGATGATGCTATTTTTGTTGGCTGTATTGGTTCTGGTATGTCGATTGAGGTTTCGGGCTTTCCGGATGTGATTAAGTCCGATGAAATTAAGTCAAACTACATCTATTTTGCGAACCCCAGGGGAATACAAAAGGTTAGTTTAGAAGCAAAGATTAAAGGGTTCGAGTCTTTTAGATGTCAAGGCCCTCTGGTCTGGATAACGTTTTGAGTGTACATATAAACCTCGGCCTTTAAGCCTTAACTTTATTGTATCGCTTTAGTCATTTTCCAATGAGTTCATACATTTTTGTTGTTTAGTTTAGCCTGAATCTGCATTATTGTAAGTTTAGGAAAGCCAACTTCGCTGCCTTTGATGGCTTTACTACATTTTCCCTTTGTTTATTTGTTTTTAGTTTGCAGCATTTTTAGTTTTCTCCCTTCCACAAAATTTGAGATGAAATTTGTTCTCGCTTTTCCCCTTTTAAGTTGAAAGGCTATATAAAGTAGGACAACTAAACTCCAGATTCAAATGAACTCTTTTATACTCCTTCCATCCCGAAATTATTGTCAAGTTATGATTTTTATTTTTAATGCAAATTCAGCTAAAAAATAAAAATACAAACTGGACCATAATTTTGAAACGAAGGGAATATAATTTAACTTTCATTATCTTGAAAAAAAAAAAAGCCACTAGGATCCAAGTTAAGGGCTTTGATCAAGCCGGAAGAGTTGTTCCTAGTTTGATCTTGAAGGAGTTGAAAGCGTCGTCGTTCCTTGAGCTCGTTGGTGAGAAAAATTAGTAGTGTTTTGCAATCATAGACATTAGTAGTGAAGCTTTTATTTTTAATTAAAAAATATATTAAATGAAATTTATCATAAATCAAATATCTTATTATAAGATTCGGAATGATTATTTTGCAAGGACCGATCATATACAATAATTTGAGGAGAGTGAATGCCAAATTGGCCACAGTAACCAGCTATGCGGGCCAATTAACCTGATATAGTCATTGGTCCTTCCATGTACCCACATGTAGCATCCATCAGAGTAGTCTTTTTCTGGCACCACCGACACCCAATTCAAGTGAGGGCCAAAAATGATGGGTAGGTAGAGATTGAAAGGTAAGATATTCTCACCAAATCCAGAACAATCAAATGAGATTAACATAAGCAGCAAAAAAATAAAAATTCAATGGCTTATACTTTCCCCTCTCTAGACAATCAACATCTGCTGCGGCTCATCAGCGGAGATCCACTTTCCCCATAGTTATGCCATTTTACTACTAATTTGCCAAAAAGTTTCCAAGGGGCATCAATTCGTGAGATCTCCTCTTGAATACGGATGGAAATAAATCAAACAGCGATGGAAGTTTATGGTGAATATGATAATTTTGCATAGTACAAAATGCTTTGTGGATACAACAAATCTCAGCGATAACGCTGGGGAGTCTAAAGGCACGCCAAAAGATCTAATTACATCTGGTCCAAGAGGTAGTAAAGACCAATTAAAACATGAAATATTTCATGAATTTTAATTTGTGGGATTCATTAATTTGGAAATATTACTAGACGAAATCAAAGCTAGCTCGGATCACAAAAAAAAACAAAAAAGAAAAAGGATCGCTTGTATTTCTGATTAAGAAAGCGAGTTAGCTTAAATTTCTGCACTCAACAAAACCAGAGACAGAATTCAGTCTGAAAAATAAATTTATGCAAAGCACTGGCAACTAAATATATACTCCATTTTTAAATGTAAGTCACTTTATATTTTACACGTAAAACTAAGGAGACAATTATCAAATAATTAATTTATGTGTTGAATATCTATTTTATCCCTCATTAGTTACATGGAAACTATAAACAAAATTAAATAAAAAGAGATTGGCATAATTTATTAAGAGTAAAATTAGAAAAATAGTCATTACTGTTGGTCAAAATATGGGTAGTATTCACAAAGGCTAAGGAAAAACGGAAGAAGAAGAAATCCGAGGCTCGTGAAAATACGATCTCTTTAAAACAGATTTGCCCCCTCCTATGGTGCTTGAGGATCACGAACAACTGTTTCCCAGGATACAACGGAAACGTAGAGACTACTTAGCACAAAGAATTTCTACTAGCGAACGAAACTTAGAACACGACGATGAACACCGAAACAAAAAGAGAAAGAAAAAAAGGCTCGAAAGAATACTGAAAGAGGAGGAAAGATTGGTGTGCAGAATTTTAGAAAATGAGTGCCTATTTATAGGCTAGAGAAACCGTTGAAATGGCAGCAAAATTTCAAACGGTTTTTGGTGTTTTAATTCGGTTAAATGTCACGAATTCATGGCACATAAACAGCCAAAACGTTTTTGACAATCAAACAGTCAAAAGAATTCATTCTGCCATTTAAATAGTATTAAATCCACCATTCATTTACTCATTCAACAGCAATATTTAATTGTAACGTTTCACTTTTCTCTTTGACTGAAATGAATGAACATAAATCTCCACGTTAAAATTTTAGCTGAAAAAAATTAATCTGAACCGGAGCAAAACGTGGGTTGATCAGGCTCGCTAGAGTTCGGTTCGGCATTTGTATTTGCAGGTCGTGCGCACACATGAGTCAAGCTATTTTGGTCCCGAATCGGACCTCCATTTGCACTCCCCTGCGTAGGCGCACGCGAGCGGGAGAGATGTGGTATAGTATTAGCAAGTCAACTTGCAAGTCAATTTTGAGCTCTCACTTATAAAGTAAGCTCCAACTCTTCCCAACACCCATGTGGGACAAAGTTCCTTAGGCTTAACTCTAATTTTTCCAACTCTTGAGAAACTTAATTCTCATTCATTTACTACTCATTTCCAACAATCCCCCACATGAATGAGATATTGTTTTGATTAAACGATGATGGTGTTCACCAACTGATCCCTGTATAGAGAAAGTAGGTTTTACCCTTTGAACTTCCTCCTTGTAAAGTATGTTTGCCTTACTAGCTGTCAAGTAGACACGATGTCCTTGAACTATCCGGCTGTATTGTGTAAAGAAACCCACATACCGTACACATGAACCATTTCTATTCAGTTCCGTTCTCATAGTTTTGTCCATTTTGGCCATGAACACGTTCTGCTTCTATAAGAGTTTCTAAAGAACTGAGCCTTAACAGTTCTCCTTTGAAGCGGCCCTACTTCTCTCACATTGGTGACTTCTTAAGTCTAGAGTAAATAAAATTACTCACTTAAGTATTATTAAAGCAACCGTTTGCTATCCTTTCCGTCATATCACTATTTGATGACAGGAATGAGTTGAGGTTTACCCCCACAGTGACCACACTAAGTTTTATGATTAGGTTGTCCCATTGAACCTAGATCTTGGGATCTCCAGTCAACTAGGTTGGGTTTTCCTTCTTAAGACTTTTATTTCTTCACAGGCTTTACACCCATTCCTTTGGTCAAGCTTTCAACTGCCTCTCTATTTAACCCTTTGGTTAGCAGATCCGCAAGATTATCTTTTGACTTCACGTAGTCAATTGTGATAATTCCTGTTGAGAGGAGTTGTCTAATGGTATTGTGTCGACGACGGATATGTTTCGACTTACCATTATACATAGTACTCTGTGCCATTCCAATCGCCGATTGACTATCACAATAAATACTGATAGGTGGCACAGATTTTTCCCACTTTGGAATATCCTCCAAAAAGTGGTGTAGCCATTCAGCCTCCTCACCACACTTATCCAAGGCAATGAACTCGGATTTCATTGTGGATCTGGCTATTATAGTTTGTTTTGAGGATTTCCACAACACAACTGCTCCAGCTAGTGTAAACACGTAGCCACTTTGCAGTGTGAGTCCTTTATATCAGATATCCAATTGGCATCCGTGTAACCTTCCAACACAGATGGATATCTGGTATAGTGCAGTCCATAATCACGAGTATGTCTTAGATACCTCAGTACTCAAATTATAGCAGTCCAGTGTTCAGCACTGGGATTACTCGTGTATGAACTCAACTTGCTTACCACATAAGCAATATCTGGTCTAGTACAACTCATTAGATAAATCAGACTCCAATTATCCGAGAGTATTCCACCTAAGATATACCCTGTCCACGATTCTTGGATAAATGGACACTGTTATCTAATGGTGTTTTCGCGACCCCAGAATCATTCTTGTTAAACTTATCAAGAATTTTATCTATGTAATGAGCTTGACTCAAAACTAGACTATCTGTTGTTCTTATGATTTTAACACCTAAAATCACATCAGCTAGACCTATGTCTTTGATGTCAAACTTAGGGTTTAACATGTTCTTGGTAGATTTGACCAACTTGTCACTACTACCAACAATGAGTATATCATCTACATATAGACATAATATGACTTAATCGTTTTCTATCTCCTTGACATAAACACATCTGTCACACTCATTAATTTTGAATCCACTAGTAATCATTGCATGGTCAAATTTTTCATGCCACTTTTTAGGTACTTGCTTTAGACCATACAGGGACTTTCCTAGTTTACAAACTTTCTTTTCTGTTCCTGGAGCTTGGAAACCCTCGTGTTCTTCCATATAGATTTCTTCATCTAAATCTCCATTTAAGAAAGCGATTTTAACATCCATTTCATGTATTTCCAAATTCCTTAAGGCTGCGATAGCAAGTATCATCCTTATGAAATTTATTCTCGTCACAGAAGAATACGTATCAAAGTAGTCTAAACCTTCTCGTTGTTTATACCCTTTGATTACAAGCCTGGCCGTGTATTTATCAATGGAACCATCAGGTTTCATTTTTCTCTTAAAAGATCCATTTAGATCCTAATGGTTTCTGTCCAGGTGGAGATCAACAAGCTCCCAAGTATGATTCTGTAAAATTGAATCAACCTCACTCTTTATGGCTTCTTCCCATAAAAGTCCCTCAGAAGAACTTACTGCATCAGCGTAAGTTAGAGGTTCTCTCTCTAGCAAATAGGTTACAGAATCGTCATCGAATGATTTCTCTACTCTTGCCCTTTGCTCCGTCTTGGTTCAACATCTTGAACCTCAACCGAATCATAAACTTCTTCATGAGTTTGTTTTGATGAACTGTACATCTTCATCCTTACTTTTGTAAGGAAACACATTTTCAAAGAAAGATGCATTTCTTGATTCCAAAACTGTGTTCTTGTGTATATCTGAAATCTTCGTATCATGCACTAAGAACCGATATGCATTACTATTCTGTGCATAGCCAATAAAAATACAATCGACCGTTTTAGGTCCAATTTTTATTGCCTTTGGCAGTGGTACAACTACCTTTGCCAGACACCCCCACACTCGCAAGTGTTTGTAGGATGGTCTCTTTCCTTTCCATAATTCATATGGAGTCTTGTCTTCTTTCTTTCGGGGAACCCTATTTAATAGGTAATTACTAGACAAGACGGCTTCTCCCCAGATATTGGGAGGTAGGCCTGAACTTAACAACATCTTATTCATCATTTCTTTCAATGTGCGATTTTTCCGTTCAGTAACCCCATTAGATTCAGGTGAATAAGGTGCTGTCACTT